CTGCTGTTGTCGTTGTTTATCATTTCATTCTGTTTATATATTCCATTTTTATGGTTCATACCAACATGTACTGACTGACTGATTAACTAAATGTCTGTTCAATTTTCTAAATCAGACCAAATCTGGTGAAAGACGAGTTCATGCTCCAGACTAAAGATTGCGACGACTTCATGGACATAGGATACGTCAGCAACTTTGGCAAGATGAAGTTCATCCTAAGAGACATGAGTGAAAACCAGCGACGAAGGATAGTGACTCTGATGCTGAGAGGTTTGTTAATTCACTTTTATTATATCTATTCATTAATACTTGCTTCCATATACATTTATATCATAACTTCATAACTTGCACTACTGCTGGCCACCATACAATTGGGTCATCATCTTTTGTTTATTCTCATTTTTAGACAATAATTACAAACTATCATTTTGTATGGTTTTGTCGGACCTTACTGACTAACTTTTTAATATTATTAAATTATTTAAAGCCATTTTGTATTTTATTTTGTACACACACACTGCACACACAAATGCATAGACATGTGAATACAAACCAATGTATATACTTGCAGATTCACCCATGGTCGAGCTCAATACCACAGAGTCGAAAATGAGGAGCATTCCGTTGAGCGCAATGATTAGAAATGTTCTCGTCTTCCGAAACATCCATCCGTCGTGCACAGCGGACGACATCAAGAATCTTGTTAATGACGAGGCTACGGGGAGAGGGTGCAACTGCTTCCTGGCCGACCCGCTCTATCTCCCACCGTTCTCTTCATTCGCACAGGACTTGTACCAGGACACCAACCAATGGCTGGTCCAGTTTGAGTCAGAAGAGGCCGCAATGAGTTTTTATCAGATAGCTACCAAAGGGATTTCAATATTGGACAACCAGGTCTTTGTTAGGGTCCTCCTTCATTCATCCACAGCCTACAACAATCTGCTCTTACATGCGCCTGGAATGACGCTGTCAGATTTCAACCCGGCCTCCTCCGAGCAGTACATGATAAACTATATTTCGCCAAATCAGATCATCTACCAGCAGCCATACCTGCCACTTCATCAGCCTCAGCAGCTGCTCCAATTTCCAAACTCTTTAGGAAGTCTACAGCAGCAGGCTGGCCTGCAGATGGCCCCTCAACAGGCTCCACTACTGCCAACGACGATGTCTAATTATGACGCACACGTTATAAATCAGCAGCAACGCCCTCGATCCCCGACTCCCAAACGGCAATATTTATACCAGGCGGCACTGAACACTGCATCCATACCTTTACAAGAAATTATACCCAACAGCCAGTTTGCGCAGCAACCACAACAGCCACCACAGCAACAACAGCATCACCAGCTGCAACCACAAACGCAGTTGCAGCCCAAAATCTATCAGCAGTTTCCAGCCCAAGGAGGCATCATCCATCAACACCCGGTTTGTCTTTATATATACTAATTGTATTGTGTTGTATTATGTACTGAATTATACTGTATCATTTATATATATATATATATACTAATTGTATTGTGTTGTATTATGTACTGAATTATACTGTATCATTGCATTGTATTGGTAGAAATATTTAACTTTATAAAATCTTTATTTTTAGAATCTGACTCTACTGCCACAGGCGACTCCGTTCGTATGCCCTCAGCTTTTCTTCGACCCAACAGGAGGATGGGTTAGTTTTGAACTTTTTTATAACTAGAATTTATTTTTTTCGATTGTTTTTTCAATCAATCAATTGATGAATGAATGAAAAAATAAATATTTTAATAATTTATTCCTGCAGTACGTGCCGGTTCAATTCCCAACTATGGTCATCCCGCAACAGCCTCCTCCTGCCCTACCACAACAACAACCTACTCAGCAGCAGCAGCAACAACAACCGCAACAGCTGCAACAACCGCCGCAACAAATAGTACAACACCAAGCGATTGCCACGTCGACGACAGCCACTACTTTTTCGCCAGCTGCTGCTAACAGGGGCAACAACAACAGCAGCTACGTGCAGCACCAACATCAACAACAGCAGCAACAACAGATGCTGCACCAACATATGATGCATATGTTAACAGCCATCATCAACAACAACAGCAGTAACATAGGTTTGAAACAGCCACAACCTATTCAACAGCAGCAACAACAACACAAAAATCAATACATTCATCTGCTTTTACAGCAGCAACAGCAGCTGCAACAACAACAACATCAGCTACAACAACCGGAACAAACAACCACAACAGCTGCAGCTACCCAATCCAGCAGCGTTAATCCTCTCAGCAGCGACAACAACATCAGCAGTGTTAGTAGTAGCAGTAACACCACGGACGTCAAAGTTAATCACGCTATTACCAAATGGCAGCATCAGCAGCAGCCTGTGCAGGAGCAGCAACAGCCACAATACCATCAACCACAAGAAATCACATTTCACCAGCAGCAGCAGCAGCAACAACCACAGCAGCCACAGCTATCACACCACCACCATCATCAGCAACAGCAGTCACAACCAGGATCATTGGGGCCTTCAGGTCAACACAACATCTCGACATCAACGTTCATGACGTCATCCTCCATGAAGACGACAGCAGCACAACAGTCCGGAAACAAACTAGCAACTCCTCCGAACAAGCAGCAGCAGCATGCGTCAACCACAACAGCCGCCATCACAGAGTTGAGTCCTGGAAATCACTCGGAGAGAGCCAAGAAGAGTTATGCAGAAATCCTCAAAAGAAAGAAATCAACATTTATGATCCCACCAGCCTCTGTCTTAACATCTGACCAGTCCATCCTTGCTATTGACAATAAAAAAACCTCAATGACGTCACCGACTTCAACAGGAAGCGGCAACCAGCAAGCCATTGCAGCTGTTCTCAGCCTAAAAAGCAACGACTCGTCCAGTTGCGAGGACATCACTAAGACAGCTGAACCAGAAACGAAAGAAGACGAGGCAACGCTGTCACATCATCAGCAAGCAGCAACAGCAGCAGCTGGTCCAGCTACTACAACGGCTGCTCCTTCTACAAATACCTCTTCAGCAACTGCTTCCGCTACAGGCAACTGCATGTCGACATCCTCGTCGTCGTCATCCTCTGGCCCTATGACGCACAGAAACCGACAACAGCATCAGCAACAGCATCAGTCGTTCTCTCGGAAAGGTGGCGGGGGAGGCCACGCCAGCAAGAAAAAAAGCGGTGGAAGCGGCGGCGGTGGTAGAAATAGTAGCCGCTACTACTACAACAGCAGCAACTCCAACAAACAGTCCTTTCGAACTTGAAATGAGATGATAGCATTTTATAGATGATACGGTGCTAATGCTGATTAAACTTCTGATATGTTTATAGACAATGGATAATAAAAATCTTATAATTATTTTATTATTTTAATAATAATAATATTATAATTATTTATTAAATTATTATTATTACATGTAAATAGGATCGCTTTGTTGTATAATAAAAAAAATTTTTAATGGAGTTCATAGATGAGAAACTGGAGGCTTTAGTAGCATTAGAAGCCCGTTTATTATTATTATAAATATAAATAAAATAATAAAAATAATAATAATAAAATGATAAAAAAAAAGTTTATAATAAAAAAAATTTTCAATGGAGTTGATAGATGATAAACTGGAGGCTTTAGAAGCCCATTAATTATTATTATTGTTATTATTATTTATAATTTTATATTATTATTTATATTTATTTTACATATATATATATATATAATTATATTATGATTATTGTTATAGTGCATTTTTTTCTGAACTGTTGCCTTGAATGTATATAACTTTAATTTGCCATCATTGTGGATGCTGATTTTTTCATTTATTTATTATTACAACTAATATAAATAATAATAATTAATAATTTTATCCATTTTTAATGGAGTTCATAGATGAGAAACTGGAGGCTTTAAAGCCCGTTTATTATTATTTCAAATAAAAATAATAATATATTAATAAAAAAAAATAATAAAATAATAATAAAAAAAAATTGTAAAAAAAAATTTTCAATGGAGTTGATAGATGAGAAACTGAAGGCTTTAGTAGCATTAGAAGCCCGTTTATTATTATTATTATTCATATTTATTTGTACATATATATATATATAATTATATTATTTTTATTGTTATAGTTCATTTTTTTCTGAACTGTTGCATTGAATGTATATAACTTTTATTTGCCATCCTTTGTTGACACTTATTTTTTCATTTATTATTATTATTATTAATACTTTTAACTTATTATTATAATTAATATCGTTTTTATTATTATTCATTTATTTTCAATTTATTAATTATATTATATTTTTTGCTGGCTGTGAATGATCAATATTATTTTTATTTTATTACAGTGTGTGTGTACGTGTGTGTGTTTGCGAGTCTGTACGTGTGTGTGTACACGAGTGCTTGTGTGTCTGTGTGAATTATATAGTTTTCAAACATTGTGGAGTCGTTTTAGATAAATAGATAAATTTTAAATAATAATAATAATTAATAATAATAGATAAATTTTAAATAATAATAATAATTAATAATTTTCTCACTAATATATTATTATTATTATTGCTTTCGTTGCGTTTGTAATTTCAGTAAATAACTTTTAAATAAATCAAATAGATTAATTAATTTAATGAACAGTTAATAAGTATATGAATAATTGATAAGCATATAAATTAATAATTAATATGTATATGAATAAATTAATAATTAATGAGTGTATGAATAAATGAATAGTTGATAAGTAAATAAATGAATAATTAATAAATGTATAACTAAATTAATTATTTATAGGTATATGAATCAATGAATAAATTAAATACATACATACATACATACAAACATACACACACACTCACTCCCACACTTACATGCATACATACATATATATATACCTACATACACACGCATACAAACAAACATACATACATATATACATACATACCTACATACACATATGTATAAATAAATTATAAATAAAATAGTAATAATAATAAAGTAATGTTAACCTTAGCAGTGGGGCAAATAGAGGGCATGGCACATCTAACCCTGGCTCCTAATTCATCAGATGAGACTCTCGGTGGGTCACACTTTCTCAGAGAACCAAAAGCCGTGCAACTCTCAATCTGAGTGGCATTCGTGTCCGGCCGACCCATCCTCATCGATACTGGCATAGATGAGGAAGATGTAGTCGATGCTGACTGACATGATGAGGTAGTAGGCAAATCTTTGTCTGACTTTATTTCCTCTACAAATTTTTATATACAAATCCTTTTTTTAAATATTTTAAGTGAATTCTGGCAAAAGGTTTGTAATAGTTTTTAAAAAAGCTTGCGAAATCCTCACTTAATTTTTTTTGTAAAAATTTGATTAAAACATGACCAACCATAGGCCCTTACACAATTATTTTTAAAAAAATTTGGGGCTAAGTACGTGCATTTAAAAGATTCAACACTTAGAACAAATTTGAAGATTTGTCATGATCTATCCATGATCTTTGATAGTTTTGTACAAAAAAAAATTGAACCTTGATTATCATCCGTGGTTTCACCATGAGTGTCAGTGAGACCAAGATCAGAACACAAGACGCAGTAATCAACACCATCAGCCGTGGTCCCATTTATTGGTTTCGTCCTCATAAGGATTGTCTTCAAGATTTTGATAAAAAAAACAATTTGTTTAATTAATTAATTAATTAAAATAATAATTTTTAATTAAATATTAAAACAAAAGGTAAAAAATTTTACAACTTACTGAGCAAACAGGGCAGGTCGTGGCCAGCATTTTGTAACCCTTCAGTAAATAGGAGCCCATGGTTTTACTAATTTTATCTTGCAATTCTCGTCTGCCCTCTAAAATTTTTTTCTCAGACTCTGATGGCTCCCAACAATATTCTGAATGGAGATCAACTAGATGATAAAACGAAAAATTCATCATCAACAAATTAAAAATTTAAATAAAAAACAGTATTTTTAATTTTTGAATGGCAAAAAACATCAAAAATTACCAAAATCCGACATAACTAAAGGTTCGGCGACAATTTATAAAAAAAAAAACTAATTTAAATTTATGTAAATAAATAGATGTAAGTTGTATGGAAAGCCGTTCATGTCAATAAAAACCCTTTTTTAATAAATAAAAATTGTGTGTGATATAATATAACACACAGACCCGTCTTTAGCTGAAATATTTCATTAATTTTTTTGTTTAATAAACTGAGAAAATACAAAAAAAACCAACTCAAATGTCAACATCTCCATTGCTATAAAAGTCTGACACAATCACTGAATGAAGTTTTCAAATTTAATTTGAATCATTGGCATTGTCAGAGTTTCAATATCACCATCATCGTGATTGTCATCATCAAAATTATCATCTTCATGCATAATGTAGAAAAATTATTGGAAAACTGGTGACTTAAATGCCTATCGAGCATACAACAAACTATTAAGCAGTAATGTAAAATCAAGGACTTGAATTGCAGAAATACACCACCTAGAACTCATTTCATACAACAACAAAAATCCCAAACATTTTTGGCAACGATGAGATTGACTAGTTAATTGATTATACAATAATAAACACTATCTCATTCATATTGCCGTATAATATGCAAAGAATGGCTATAGTTCAATCCTAGTAATCCAACCTTTGACTTCAGTAAGCCTTTGGTTTTCACCAAAAAAACAGCAATTTTTATATTCGGATTAACAAGAATAAATTTAAAATACATAATTCCATTTGATAGAATTAAATAAAATTGCAGCATTGCTTTAAAAATAATAAGTACAGCAAGCAAGTAAAATAGCCTCGATCGCTTTTTCCATTACATCGTCTTACGTGGAAGAAACCACTTTTAAATTTATTTTTATATTTGGTTTTAAACTTAACTCTATATTTAAGCTTCGATAAATTATTTTTCTAAAAGCTTCAAACGTCGGTAGAAATTAGGCAGAAATTCAGACATTTTTGTCTACTAATTTTACTGGATTATTAGTATTTAAATTGTTTTTTACTGAAAAATTTTTTTTGAAGCTACTTAGTATTCTTTCTTACTTTTAAATCAATGTTGGCTACCTTTTTGTCTTTTTGACGTTCCACAGTTAAATAGAATGAGTGAAAACATCTAATTTTAAAATTTTAATGAATTTAAAACTTCAATTGTAAATTTGTTTTAATTTTATCGCAGCGTCTGTACTTTTATTTTAAATTATTCAACCGATTTGAAAGAACGAAATTCCAAAAATGATGACAAAAATTGTGAAAGCCAAATACATTGCACTGACGTTGTTAGGAGTTTGGGTTCTGTCTATGATCTATATGTCATTCAGCATGACGGCCAATCAGGACGCGAAAAATTTCCAACTGAAGGAAGATCTTCTGACAAGGGCCCTCAGTGAGATTGACAGATTGAAACAAACCAACAGGGAATTGACTGAATACATAGAAAAAACAAGGTTTTGTAATTTTGTATGATTACCTTAAAATATTAAATTTTATTTTGTATTTAATTATTATTATAATATTATATTTATAAATAATTTATATAGTCATAATATATATTACAAAAATTATAATTGAGTTTAAATATATATTATATATATATGTATATATATATAATTTTTACAATATTTTATAAATTCTACAAACGAACTACAAACATATTAACGCCAAACATTCGGTAGAATTTATAGAATATTGTAAAAATTATGGTCTATTACCAACATTAACGTATATATATAAATATATATAGGAAAATGTTCTGTTTTAGTTAGCTTCCTATTTAATTTTTCTATCCTATCCTGCTTAAAATAATAAAAATTTTGGTTTTAAACTCAAGAAACTTGACAATGATTTTCCATCTATCCTTAGGAAAATTGAAAAAATAAACAGGAAGCTAACTATCGGGGAATATGCTGTGATTTTCATCTCTAATTGCACATATATATGTATATATTATTATAGATAGATTATTAAAGATTATTATAAATGAGCTTTTGGGGTCAATTCATTTTATTTTTATTATTTACTATTTAATCAAGATCTTTTTTCATCATTTTGTAATCTTAATAATGAAATATTTTTCAGACAAAATGTGAATGATCATAATGTTAATGTAGTTCTAGATCGTTCAACAAATCATCCTGTCGAAAAAAGTATAAAAATCGTTAGAGGTATATTTATGAAAGTTGATTTTTTTATCAAATTTATATTGAAAAACAGTAGAATAATATTAAAATTCATCTTTAACAATAAAAAAACTTTGTTAATTCCACTCTTTATGCAGCATTAAAACCGAGCAAAGAGCATGAAATGTGCGCCAGACAAGTGAAAAACGACGTCGATGAACTCTGGTACTACATTCGGGACCAGTTCCAGAAGCTGAAGACAGAGTTCCATAACTCTGAGAAAGTTGAAAAAATAAGGAAAAATTTATTTCAATATTATAGGTCAATGATTTCTTCTGTTGAATTATGATGTATAGATGAAAAAAGCTAAAAAATATATATATATATATTACTTTATATTACTATAAAGTAATATATATATATAGATATATAATATTTTGATTCAAATAATGATTCAATAATAAGAGTTCAGAAAATTCAAATCAATTCAAATATATTCAATCAAATAATAGTAAAAAGAATTTAATTTCAATATTTCAGGTTATTTAATTTTCTGGGATTGAGTGATAATTTTATTTTAAATTAAGCTTTCTACTTGCCGTTGTTGTAATATTAGGAGATGTTTTTTGAGCTGTGATTACTGTGATATCATATTTTTCTCAAAGTAATTTTTAGTATTGTATTTTGATCTGATTTAAAATCATTTATAAAGAAATATTGAATGTTTATTTAAACTGTGGTTATCAATAATTAAGGTGATTATTATTCTGATATTACGTCCTACCTCGGGAAACCGGGTCTCTGGATGCAAAACGAAGATTGATTGATTCTGATATTATAGAATTAAATTTTGAATTAACAAATTTTGACATGAAAAGTTTAATTTAGATTTTATTGGTCCGTATTTTTAGGTAGTAAATTCTGGTATAATTGTTTGATCTAAATTAAGTTATATAAAATTTTATTGGAGGTTTTTCATCAACTAATATTTTTACGTTCATCCGTTTTACTTTCTCATATTTTATGACCTAGTCACCGAATAATTTCTTTATTTTTGATTCGATTGGTTAGAATTTAATTTCCAACGATTCATCATATTAAATTATTCTAAGTGTGTGATTATCTACGCGTGTATACAATTTTTTCGAAGACCACTAACTCTTCTCACTTGGCGTCAGTTGTTGGATAAATTTGTCTTCCGCTTCATTTTTCAGCGTGATAGTGAATGATTTGAAATCGTTGGGAGAGGCAGACGCAGCAGACGCGTGGCGTCTCAAGGAGTCAAAGGAGTTAGGGCAATTAGTGCAGAAAGTTATCCACAAATTACAGGTTGTTGTTATTATCATCATCATTTTTTTTTGGCTTGTGGTTTCTCTTGTTTAAATTGTAAATTTTAGAATCACCGAATTTTATGTTACGAATGAATGCTAATGTTAATGGGATCGTTGTATTGAATGTTCAAACGTTTAGTGGTTTAACAGCGCAACGAATAAAATAAATTTTGTATCGAAATTTATTTATAGAAATTCTACTATAGATGAAGAGGTCATAGAAATTCAATAAAACCAAAATATCATGACGATTTAACAATACAGCAGACCGAAAAGTTATAAATAATTCATTCATTCATATTTATAAGCCAGAATTCATAAAAACGCAATGTAACCACAGATTTTTTAAATTCTACAGAACCCAAAAGACTGCTCGACCAGTCGACTCTTGGTATGCAACCTCAATAAGGGCTGTGGTTTCGGCTGTCAGGTTCATCATGTTGTCTACTGCATGATTATGTCCATGGGCTCCAATCGAACTTTCGTCTTGAATGCTAAGAGCTGGAGGTACCTGAATGATGGCTGGGGTAAGTTTTTCATCCCCCCTAGTACTGCTTGTGATGCAGTTAATTACGGAGAGCCACCGTTCTGGAAGGGTATGGTTGAAAGGATTGATTTCGGATTGTTGTGTGTGTGTGTGTGTGTGTGTGTTTGGTTTTTCATCTGTGTTTGTTTGTTTCTGTATTTGTTTGTTTGTTTCTGTATTTGTCTGTTTGTTTCTGTATTTGTCTGTTAGTTTGTTAATTATATAAAACTTGTGTATGGTACGATGGTCCAGTGGTTACATCTGGCCTAGCACATCTGTTGCATTGACGGGGTTCGATTGCCAAGAAATTCCTGCCTACTACATGCGACATGTATGACGCGTTGGTTCGCTGGTATTTGTGTTTGCTGTGGGCACCTCGAATAAATGTCTTAGAGAGAAAAATATCGTAAAAAATGGTACCTAAAAACAATAAAAATGGTGATAAACTAATTCACTAATTCAGCCCCTAAACAATAAAAAAAATGGCTGATTCAGGGGAAGAAGACACTACACGAGTCATCCAACTGCCAATTATCGACACCCTAAATCCCCGACCGAACTACCTCCCTCTATCCATCCCCACCCAACTTTCGGAGCGTTTGAAACGTCTGCACGGTGACCCTTTCGTCTGGTGGGTGGGCCAGCTGATGAAATACCTCATGAGGCCCCAGCCTACATTTCAGATGGATATCGACGATGTTGCCAAGGATTTGGGGTTTGACGAGGGGGAAGTTACCGTCGGGTTGGTTTTTTGTTTATTTGTTGTTTTTTTTCTGTTTTTAATTGTTTTTCATGTTTGTTTGTGTATTTGTGTCTACGTTTTGATTGGCTGTTGCTCGTTGTTTTGTGTTTTTTTTTGTTTTCGTTGTATGTTTATTTGTATCTTACGTTATGTTCTAGTTGTTTTGCAGTTGGATTGGTTTTATTGTTGTGTGGTTTGTGAAATAGTGAATTAGCAGACCAACTAAACGAACAACCAACCAACCAACTAAATAAATAAACAACAAATCAACCAACCACCCAACTAAACAACAACCAACTAAATAAACAACCAACCAACTAAATAAACAACTAACCGACTAAAAAAACAACAAACCAACCAACTAACTAAACAACAAACCAATCAACCAACTAAACAACCAACCAACTAACTAATCAACCAACCAACTAAACAAACAACTAAACAACCAACTAAACAACCAACCAACTAAATAAACAACAATCAAACCAACCAACCAACCAACCACAATCAGCGTCCACATAAGGAGAACAGACAAAGTTGCAACCGAGGCAGCCTTCCATTCGTTAGACGAGTACATGGCACATGTTGATACCTACTTCGATGTCCTCGACACGATAGCTGCCTACCCTAAGAAAAGGTCAATCTACCTTGCCACCGATGAGCCGTCTGTTTTTCAAGAGGTCGCCCAGAAGTTAGTGCTGCGGCAGTGCTGATGATGATGATGATAATGTTGATGATTAATGGTAATGCTGTTGTTGATGATGATGATGATGATGATGATGATGTTGATGATGATGGTAATGATGACGATGAGGATGGTAATGTTGATGATGATAATAATGTTGATGGTGATGATGATGATGGTAATGATGACGATGATAATGATAATGTTGATGATGATGGTAATGATGACGATCATCATCATCATGATAACACCCAAAAAAAGATACCCAAACTACAAAGTGATTGGCAACAAAGATTTCTCACAGTCGGCATCGTTGAGGTCCAGGTACACGGAGGCCTCGTTACGTGCTGTAATCTTGGATGTCCATTTCCTGTCTAGGTGTAAATATCTCGTCTGCACGTTCTCCTCTCAGGTTTTTAAGTTCTTTGGTGGTTTTTTTTTATTTCTGTGATTTACAGTTCTTTGTTTGTATGTTTGGGATTTGCAGTTCTTTGTTTGTATGTTTGGGATTTGCAGTTCTTTGTTTGTATGTTTGGGATTTACAGTTCATTGTTTGTATGTTTGGGATTTACAGTTCTTTGTTTGTATGTTTGGGATTTACAGTTCATTGTTTGTATGTTTGGGATTTACAGTTCTTTGTTTGTCTTTCTAAGGTTTTCTGCCCTTATTTTATTTTTGCGTTTCAGTTTTTTTTTTGTTTTGTATTTGGTCTATGGTTTGTTATTCTTTGTTCGTCTTGCACTCTCTGTCGTTCGTTCTTTTATTTCTATGTTAATTTTCTCTTATAGTAATTATTCTATGTTTGTTGCACTTCCTGTCTTTACATTTTTTTTTAAATTTTCTTTCCCCTTAGTACGAGATATATACCACCAGATAACAAACTCATGTGGTGAATTAACGATTATATTAAGTTTAATTCAACTTACAATAAGCTTAATGCAATTAACGATAGTAATTAATTCTGATGGTAATAATATTGTTTAATAAACGACCAATCCATTAATTAATTAATATTCTAATTAATTAAATTAACTAATTAATTAAATTGACTAATTAATTAAATTGACTTATTAATCGATTAGTTAAACTTCTACATTGCGAGCAGGTCTGTAGGATGGCCTATGAGCTGATGCAGACGATGCACGGAGATGCTTCGAAGTTCTTCACCTCCCTGGACGACATCTACTACTTCGGAGGCCAGTTGGGCCACAGCCAGCTAGCCAGACTGCCCCACTCCCCAGAGGAGCCAAACGAGATAAGTTTCAGAAGCGGGGACAGGATTGGCGTGGCCGGCAACCACTGGAATGGGTTCTCGATGGGGACCAAGTTAGGCACGCCAGAGAGGGGTTTATACCCTTCGTTCAAGACCTTAGAGGTCGTCAGTGAGGCCGATTTTCCGATATTCAACGAGTTTAAAGATGAAATCGAGGATGACGATATGAGGGAAGGGGGCGAAGATAGAAGAAAGAATGATGCAAATTCTTTGGAGGGTAAAGAGATGCGATCCGCAAACATTCACGACAGCAACAACGTACAAATTAAACCCATGATCAACAGTCATAATGTTCCCCCATTAGAAGCTATGCAGAATGCTTAAAAGTGGATTCAATACCACGAGGTTGTGGCTGTTTATCAAGCGCTATAATATTGAAAAAAAGATGTCGTCATCATGGTAGGAAGGGTTCTGAAGGGACAGTGGCGTATTTGTATTTGAGTGTTCTTGTTTCTCGTTGCTTCAATCCGGGCATTGGATGCCGCTCACATCCATTTAATCTGACAGCTTAGGCTTTCTTTTGTTCTGCGGTATTCATCTACTAATGTTTCTGTCATTTCAATTAATCATTCATTTCATTCAACCAGTTGTTCATTCATTTCAGTCAATCATTTCATTCACTCATTTCAATCGGTCAATCGTCCGCCAGTCAATCGATTACTCAACAAGCCAGCCAATCAATCGATTGGACAATCAGCTATTTTATTTTTATTATTATTGTCTGGCCATAAATTTATTTTTGCTAGGATGTTTGTTTGTATTGGCTATTCTTCGTGATGTTCTTCTCTCTCTTTCTCTTCTTCCTCTCTCTGCTCAATTCTCTTGTGATAAATACGACATTCATTTTTAATGTATTTATTTCTATCTATCAATCAATCTATCTATCTGTCTGTCTGTCTCTGTTTTCTCTCTCTTTCTCTAAGTTAATTCTTTATCGTTACCCACTTTCAGTTTTTTCTTTTTTTGTAATCTATCTCTCTCTCTCTCTCTCGCTCTCTACTTATTCATCATAATATATAATTATTCACGTTTTATTTATTAACCATAGAAGAACCACACAATATTAATAAGTTTAATGATTGTTGTTGATTTCATGCTCTCGTACATTATTTATGTTTTTGTCTTGTTTCATGTTTTCATTTGTTAAGTTTCTAGGGGTAATGTGTTTTTCTAGACGCGCGCACACACATACACGCACACAAACATGTATGTGTTTATGTATCTGGTTTATATATATATATATATATATATATATATATATATATATATGTATATATATATACATACCATTACCCGCCATAGGCCAGACGTACTAGTCAGTAGCCTGCCGAATAAGGTCTAAGATAAGACAATTCAATCATTGTAACCAAGAAACTCAAATTGAGCTAAAGTTTAGGGTACATAAATATATACATGTATACAAAAAGATTATTATTTGATTATTGGTGTACATACTGTTATTATATATTTGTGTGTGTGTGTGTGTGTGTGTGTGTGTGTGTGTGTGTGTGTGTGTGTGTGTGTGTGTGGCTAAATGAACCTGCTACATACATGCGTTCGTTCTCCTATTGTAAATGTTTGTGTCCATTTTCAAGCCCAACGACGATTCTTTTTATTGTTATTATCGCTCTTTTGGATGAGATTTGTCATTATTTATTATTAATGATGTTATTATAAAATTATTTAATATTTTAATTAACATTATTTTAATTAATATTATTTTATTTAATTTTAATTAATATTATTTTAATTACAAATAATTACTGATATTACCGGTATCATATTGATACCAAAGAATCTTGTGAGGCATTTTAAGTATTGGCATATATTTACGTTCTTTGTTTACGATGACGTTGTCTATGTGTGTTTGTGTGTTGTTATTGTTGCCATCCTCATCATCGTCGTCATCATTCCGTATAATCGTCATCGGTACGATAATTGATCTTCACCACTATACAACAACTAATGGCTTTTGTTTGATAGGTTACTAATTCCAACAATAAATAGACAGATAGATAGATAAATAGATAGAGAGATAGTAGACAGACAGACAGATGGATAGATATATAGATAGACAAATAGATAGATAGATTGATGGATAGATAGATGATAGTGAAAAAATATAATAACCATAATTTTACCATTTTGATTTGAGAAAATAACAAAACTGATCTACGTTTCTAACGACATGAAAAAAACAATTGATTAATTAATTAAACTAATTGATTAATTAATTAAACTAATTGATTAATTAATTCATTTATTAAATGTTGTTTGATCATCCATAAAAAGCAGGCGAGATTATCCTCTTACTTTAGTATTGACATTTTTAAAACTTTAAATCTTTGCTGTAAGGATATAAATTAATACACAATTTATACATAATTAATAATATATGTATATATTATGTTTATGTACGTATGTATGTGTGCGTGTGTGTGTATTTATGTATGTATGTGTGTGTGCGTGTTGTATATACACATATATTCATAAATTAAGCTTGCATGTGTTTGTTTATGTACGTATGTATGTATGTGTGTATATATTTATGTATGTATGTGTGTGTGTGTATTTATGTATGTATGCACAGGTACATGTATGCGTGTGTGTGTACACGGGACGTACATAACACTATAATGTACAGACGCTTTCGGAATTTAGCATGGAGACTTTATTAATGAAAGCCGGATTGGTGGCGTATATTTTGATTGGCAGGTCCCAGACCATCGTCTCTACGTCTAAATTAGCAGGAGCAGTCCATGTTGTTTTCGGGGGGTGTACGGGATTAGATTCAGAGGGATGTTCCAAGAGAGGGCTGGTCAGGGTGACGAATTCAAAGTGTAGTCTCCATTTTAGAGCCACTGTTTGATTTGAGGTATGGGTTAATTCTTGTAACATGTTTCAGTTAATTATTGCAATGAAATTTTATAAAAGAACATAGCAAATATATTATATCGTCATTACTGCTCCATCACGCTATATCGTCATATACTATCACGAATGATATATTGCTGATACTATATCACTGATATATATGATGTCGTTGATCATTGAAATTTTATAAAAGAACATAAATTTATTGTACCGTTATCACTGCTACATTATGCTACATAAACTTCATCAAGATGATAAAAGTCTCGTTAGAAAAATTGAGAAACTCAACTACAAGTTGAATAATGCTGAAAACACAGTGATCTTTATAAATAATTGTATCACGAATGGTATATAGCTGATACTATATCATTGATATCATTGATCAAATTAGATTGAAAATTGTAAGAAGAGAAAGTTGTCCACCTAGGTCAGTGCTAAAAGCCGGAGTGGCCGTCAGAGGGATAGGAATAGCGATGTGCGTTCTCTGCACAAACAAAATAAACTCTTCATGTTTGTTGACGTTAGTGACGATGGAGCCGTCCAAGTCGGCAGTCGATAGGGAAGAGGAAGAAGCTTTCCTATTGGTCGATTTCAAATGACAGCCGTCCAATAGGGTCTCTTTGCATTGCAACGTCACTGAAAACTGTTATTCAAAAGTATGTTTTTCATTCATTTAACTGACTGTGAAGTTATCTTAAAGAAACATTATCATAATTTAAAAATTTTTTTTATAAAATAATTAAACTAAATTAAAAAGTTGATAAAAAAAATTTAAATATTTTTTTTTAAATAATTAAACTTGATGAAAAAAACTAAATTAAAAAGCTGACAAAAAAAGATTGGAGTTAAAATAATAATCGAATGGAGTAAGATGTCCGAATGTCATGCACCTGTACACATTTAACGGCTGCCTTATCGAATATGCAGACCCCGATGATGTCATCGCCTAATCTGAAGGCGTGTTTGAAGAGGCAGAACTCAACTACTAAACCTTTCTTATTTGTTATGTTGTAATGGCCTGTTGATAGATGACGGAGAATGGATGTTACAAATCAGAAATTTTACTGACAGATATGATTTAATTTAAATAAATTAAATTTAGTTGATTTTATCATTTAATTTAAATGTTAAAGGCGAAAAAATTGTTTAAAAAACTTTATATTCGATTGAATTTGAAATAGGCAAGTTAAAAATTTAAAAAAATTAGAGAAAATTTTAAATAAGACACTTGGTATTTTTCTGCAGGTGAGCAGTTGAAGGTTCTCCATCGCAACGTCAAAGATGCTGTTGTCATTAGGAATGGGCTGATAGAATGGGTTTGTCGGCCGACAGTCATCGCTACCTTCACACAAGTTCATCATGCCCTCCAAGCCTTCCGATCACAGTTTGAAATAATTTTTAACAATTATAAAGCCTAACAATTAGTAACAAGTAGAATTGATTAATGATACTATCAATAAAATTTCAAACATGCTATAAAAAAGACACTAAAAAATAAACAAAAATTGAAATGTGAGACATTGAACTAATTTGATGGAATCAATCATAATATAACAAAAATACAAATGTAAGCCATTGAACCAATTTGATGGAGTCAAAACTAATTTAACCAAAAATACAAATGTAAGACATTGAGCTAATTTGATGGAATCAGACCTAATTTAAAAAAGTACAGATGCAAGACATTGTACTAATGTATTAAAAATACAAATGTAAGACATTGAACTAATTTGAAGACGTCAGACAGACCTGGTATGATTAGGACTCTAATTGGAATCTTCATGAGTTTGATGTGGCCTCCAATTTTTTGAGTGCCTATGGTGATTTTGTACGAATATTTCAGACAGGACCCTCTGTATGATGGGGCAATATTCACCGGCAGTGTTTCTTTGTACCTGACTAATGGAAAAAATTTTAATAAATGAAATACTTTTAATCGATAATATTATAATTATACCGAGAAGAATTAAACTGACATGTTTGAGAATCCCCAGGCCCTAATGTGATGTCACAAAACAAAATGGCTGGTTTACTGGAGAAGACCGTAGATCCTTTTTCATCTTAAGATTAACAAAATGATGGCTTTGTTTGAGTGATTCAAGTTATAAAATTCAATATCATTATTTCAATCAATCAATCTTCGTTTAGTGTCCAGAGACCCAGTTCCCCGAGGTAGGACATTGTTTTCTTTGCCATCTACTTTTTGTGCCAAATTAGACGATCAGTTGTATCCATTTCATTTAAATTTAGAGCTTTCATGTCTTGCTCAATTGTTCGCAACCAGGTCTTCTTTGGATGGCCTTTGGGACGTGTGCCAGGTACTTCAACATCCGCAAGAGAAATTATAGCACTGTTTTCACTTCGTATGACATGACCAAACCACTGCAGACGGTGTTGCCAGCATTCGTCCTTTATATCATCTAAACCAGCACGATGCAGGATTTCAATAGATTTGATGTGGTCCTTCAGACTAATTCGTGGCATCCATCGGAGCATTTTCATGTCGGTTCGTTGAAGTTGTTGTTCCAGTTTGGTTGTCATTGGCCATGTTTCTGCACCATATAACAACACCGGACGTATCGTAAATTTGTAAAGTCTTGATCCTAGTGGTAGTGGGATGTCACGCTGCATCAATATAGAGGCAAGGAGATGCCATTTATTCCAGGCTGCACATATGCGTGCTCCAGTACAATTAGTTATTTATGATATTTTTATTTAATTAAATTAATTAAATTACACTAGATTCTAAGTCCAATCTAAAGTTCTAAAACCATTAAAGTTTAAAATACAAATAAATAAATTGAGCACAGATCATTTTAAAGTGTACCTTTAAAAGGGGCAAGTGATGTTTCATGGCTACCGACTCGATTGAGATTTGATGATGATTCTGAATTTTTATGTGATTTATCCCCCAAGGCAATTTTAGATTCGTTGACGGAACACTGACAATGAATCTGAGCACTTGCCCAAGCAAGCTTCACTAATGGGGACTTAGATCTACTGAAATGGAAAATAAAAAATTGTAACTTATATAATTCGGTCATTGTACGTCACAATCACTTTGAATTTAGTTTTTTTTTAAATTTAAAAAAAAATTTTTAAATTTGTTTTACTTGCTGACGTAGCTTTCACTAATTTTGAAAGTGATATCACATTCGACTGTTTCCCCGGCAATGAATACGGATCGTCCGCCTAACAACTTGCACGATATTTCAACCATAACTAAAAATTATGACAACGATGAATATAAAAAAAATTTTAACCGATTAATAAACAAAATCAAAGTTTTTTAATCATCAACTTAATTTCACATTTAAATTTTTTTCTCACTTTTAAATTGTTATGACTAATCGATCAATTCGATCAATTGGTTGGGCTATTTGAAGGGCTTGGATTACTGGCTTACGAAATTGCATGGATTTTAACGAGCAGACTATGAAATATTTATTTGTATCTTAAATCCATGTAGTAATTCTATTTAATTTTATTTAAAAGACTTATGTATTATTAAATTATTTTTGTTAATTTGAATATTAAATTGCTTTTAATCCGGTGAAATTCGGTGGCTTACTGAAGCCGAAGGTTGGCTTATTAGGATTGAACTATAGTCACTCTATTTTTACACTATTCGATCATGTTAAACTTTTGTTTGCTTATGAAATAAACGTCCTAAATAGATCAAAATTGTTATTTTAACAACTATCTTCATTATATTCAATGAATATTTTACGTTCTGCTGGTGCTCACAGAAACTGGTTGCTGAAATCAGGCGTTGGCTTACTGCAGTGGCTTACAGGGTCTCAAAGAACTTTTATGATAGCCGTTTTTTTACATATAATGCCTTAAATAAATCAATATATTCATATCACAATTATTTTTGTCAATATTAATATGGAAATTGCTTTTGTCTAGTGAAATACCGTAGGTTGGTTTAATCGGATTTTTTTTTCATATATAAAATACTATAAGATTAATCAATCAATCAACCAACCAATCAATCAATCAACAAATCAATCAACCAACCAACAATTCATTCAATCAACTAATCAAACAACCAATCGACCAATTAATGAACCAAATTGAATGAACCAAATAATCGAAAAAAAAAAAACAAAAAATAAAAAAATATTTGCAAGACTTGTTCAAACTCGAACAAACACTTAACCGTATAGATCTACAAACAATTTCGAGATTTTAGTAAAGAAAGACAAACACAATAGTTGCTTTTATTTGAACTCATTCAAAAATGAAAAGTGACGGTTAATTAAAATTTTAAAAACGTCAATTTTTTTAAAAATTTGAATTTTAAACAAACAAATATAACAAAATATCGACCGATAAAAAATAATAACTATTATCATTATACACACTCCTAGTATTGATAGTTCTCTGAGAATGATTCACGTAACAATAACATTTAGTATGAACAGTTCACAGCATATCATAATGACTAAATCAACATACCATACAGTAATTATTTATACATGCATATATACAAAGTAAATCAAGAAATATCCAAAAATTATGTAACCAAATTAAAAAAAACTAGAAACCAGTCAGTTTTTAATAAATTAATAAATAATTAAATAAATAGACATTATTAAAAAGATTGTTCAAAAAGGTAAAATTTAAGGCGACGACGAGAATGAAATGTTGTTTTTTTTTGTTTGTGTGGTGTTGTGTTGCGAAGCGAAAACAAACAAACACATCACAAAAAACTAGCAAGAAGTCGCAAGAATAGTAGTCAGTCACCTACCTACAATTAAATTACTCTCAGGGCCCTAGCTTACTTATAATGATCAACTCAACTCACCTACCTATAAATTTGTATTTCTAAGTTTTAGGATTTTTACACGTTTCAGGTATTTTATTTTATATATTTTAGCGTTTTTATTTTACTTGTAACTTTTTAACTAATGTTAAGCCCTAGCCTACCTACGATTGTTCAACTCATCTCAATCCCTAACTTGCCTATGAATTAAATTAAAGTCCGGTAAAGAAAATAGAAAGTTGAAGAGAAACATAACAACAACGACACCGAATGAATGTTGTGTATGTGTGTTGTATTGATGTGTTTGAGTGTGAATGTGCGCGCGTGTACTCTCCAGAAACTTCTTCACTCACTACAGGCGAACCACCATTGCACCGACCATCACCTGACATGCACCGATGGAATGAATTTGACCTGATACTGAAAAACCTTTAATTGAAAAAAAATTAATTTTTTAAAATAAAAAACAAGCCATTGGAATAAAATAGGCAACCTATCTTATTGAGATGACACTCAATCCTTCGTTCAAATTCGAGAAGACTTTCAATGGTACGATTGAACAAAAACAAATTTCCCTTTAATATTATCTTCGAGTTGCCATCGGAACGATCACTATGAGACCACCATCTGAAATGTGCTGACGCCCACCACAGCCCACCTCTCATCATTCTGTAGACAAGTTATTTTTATTAGCGAAATAGTAAATCAAGGAACAAATGAACGAACGAATAAATGTTTAACTGAATGATTGAATGATCGGTTGAATGAATGAATTAACTAATTAATTAATCAATGATTTAATGAATGAATAGAATGAATCAATGAATCAATTGGTGGAGGAATAATTAGAAAGATAGTGATAAAAAGAATGAATGAATGAGAAAAATAAAAAAAAGAAACTAAACGATACTTCAAAATTCGTCGTTGTTTTCTTCGAATTGTCATCGGAACGATCATCATGAGACCACCATTTGAAACGTGCTGACGCCCACCACAGCCCACCTCTCATCATTCTGTAGACCAATTTTTTTTATTAGCGTAGTATTAAATGAATGTTTGAACAAAGAAACAAACGAATAAATGGTTGGTTGAATGATTTAATGAATGAATTAATCAATGAATGAATCAACAAATGAATATAATGAATCAATTAATAGATGAATAATTTGAAAAATTGGGTGAGAAAATTAATGAATGAGAAAAATAAAAAAAACGAAGCTAAACCTTACTTTAAAAATCGTCGTTACTGTAATCCATTGCACCGACCATCACCATCTGGTCGGCACACAAGATGTCATCCGAACTTCAGAGTGTCAGTCGAACAGCCAACGCGCTGATTCTTCCTTCACCACCATCCTCATACGTAAATCATCATGAGACCATCATCTGAAACGTGCTGACGCCCACCACTGCCCACCTCTCATCATTCTGTAGACAAATTTTTTGATTAGCGTGGTAATAAATGAATGTTAGATTCTTAAAAGCAAAAAACTATAAAATGAAAATTATGTCAATAAATAATATTTTAAAATAATAAAGAAAGTAAAAATGAAAAAAAACTTACCGTCGTCCATTCGACAAAGGCAGAATGTTGAATGCGGTCCGGTTCCTACGTTGTCCTCCAAAACTGGTGCCAGTCCTCCTCGAGATTGTTGCTGAAACACAGCCCGTGTTGATGGAGAAAGATAAAAAGAAGATTCTCATCAGAAAGCTTAGCGGTGCCTGCATCTCAAATTGCTTAATAAAAATAATCCTATCTACCTATTCAATTACCTTAACTAATATATATTAAATTGTTAATGGTACGATAGTCGAAAGTCCCCCTTCATTCTCCCTCCTTGCACAGAGGTTCACCGACAGCCAGGGCACCGGATAGTAAACCATTGCCGTGCGGATAGTAGACTATTGCCGAGCGGATAGTAAACCATTTGCCGTCCGGAAGCCGTGCGGGTAGTAGACTATGGCCATGCCGCATAGTAAATCATTACCGTGCAGATAGTAAACCATTGCCGTCCGGATAGTAAACCATTGCCGGTTCACCACTGGCCACCAAGGCTTACCTCTGACAACAGACTTCGAAATTCAGAGTCTATCGGTTATCGTACCCTCAACTTACCTATTCATTACAATTAAGTCCTAGCTTACCTAAAATTACAAAACTCAAGAGCCCAATTCATTGGCCTTTCGGCACCCACCCCACCACCTACGTAATGCCTTGGGCTCCAACTTAGTAATAATAATATAAAACTTACACCCTAAATCTATTAATGAATGTGTTACAACGTAGCCTTAAATTACCTATTCATTACATTACGGTTCTAGCTTACCTAAAATTACAAAACTCAAGAGCCCAATTCATTGGCCTTTCGGCACCCACCCCACCACCTACGTAATGCCTTGGGCTCCAACCTAATAATAATAATGTAAAACTTATAATTAGCCTACCTATCGATACACTTACAGCGTTTTAATTTACATTACAAGATTGTTCCTAGAATTACATTATTGCCCTTAACTACCTATGAAATTAAATTACTCTCAACCTTAGTAATAATAAATTAGAATGTGTAATGAAAATAAAATAACGCTCAAATACTAACATATGTGTTTATGTATGTATTTGTGCGTGTGTGTAATACGCTGATGCGTGTAATGTGGGTGCAAGAAAAAAAAATAGAAGCGATAAACTTACGCGCCTACCTATTCAACTACATTAGTGTTGGATGCTTCCTATCTATCCTACCTACAATTAAAATCATGCCTATCTAACCTACCTATATAGCTACGTAATGTAATTGTGTGTATGTGTGTGTGCGTGTGAGCATTCTTACTTAATGTTAAATTAGAGAAAAACAGAGAAAAAAGAATAAAACGTATCCCAGCCAGGCGTGTATTCATTGCCACTGAATGAATGAACGTGGCCTGACATCTTCCATGATGAACTCCTCTGGAAGCTTCAACCTGAATGAAATAAAAAAAATGGAAAAATTTTATTTATTTAATTAATTTAAATGAAAATAGAGAAACGAGCCAGCCGGAAAAGCCAGCCAACTGGCAAAGAAAGGAACCGCAAAGAAACCGTAAAACGAACCAAAGCCAGGCGTGCATTCTTTGCCACTGAATGAACGAACGTAGCGTGACATCACAACCATTCTGATCATCAACAATGGACTCCTCTGGAAGCTTAAACCTGAATGAATGAACCTGAATGAACCTAAATGAATGGAAAAATCTTATTTATTTAATTAAAACGAAAATAGAGAAACGCAAAGAAGCCGACCGGTCGGCAAAGAAAAGAACCTCAAAGAAAGGTATCTATATAACTCTATATAACTCTATATAACTCTATATAACTCTATATAACTCTATATAACTCTATATAACTCTATATAACTCTATATAACTCTATATAACTCTATATAACTCTATATAACTCTATATAACTCTATATAACTCTATATAACTCTATATAACTCTATATAACTCTATATAACTCTATATAACTCTATATAACTCTATATAACTCTATATAACTCTATATAACTCTATATAACTCTATAACTCTATATAACTCTATATAACTCTATATAACTCTATATAACTCTATATAACTCTATATAACTCTATATAACTCTATATAACTCTATATAACTCTATATAACTCTATATAACTCTATATAACTCTATATAACTCTATATAACTCTATATAACCATGCATACTACCACATTCATTCAATAAAAATACCACTAAAACCAGGAACCACCGCGTACCTGTTGAATGCATGCTGTGAAACATAACAAGAAAAAACACAACGAAAACACCACCAAGTAGAGTAAAAGAATAGTCCCTAACCTACCTATGTAACTATATTAACTTATGCCCTAGCCTACCTATATAATAAATTAATTTTTAATCTCACCTACCTATGTTTCATTAACTTAACTCAAGACTGATGAAGAAAGAGAAAAAAAGAGTAAAACAGAACATAAAATACTACCACACAAACAAACATGATGTATGTATGTATGTATGCATGAGCAACCGCTAAAGAACCCACCTGAAATATAAAAAAAATACAACATACAAACCACAGACATTCAAACTCTATATAGCTCTATATAATAAAATAAATAAAAACAAAAAATTATAAAAATAAAATAAATGAGATCAGACAGACTGCTTCAAGCGAGGCAGAATGCCTGATCTGATTTTCATGTTGTCTCAGCTCCTTTATATACTCATTTTCAACCATACATTTTCATCATTTCAATCATTCACATCAGTAAAAAACTTATTTAATGTATGTAGTACATTATTATACAGTCTTAACCACAATGCAAACCGCACTAAATTGACGTCATCGAACGAACGCCTTCGAAATATTCTGATTGGCTGGTTAAATCTGCTATATTGGTTTTATATAAACATATAATCTTATTAATAGTTTGTATACATGGATTCTAGTCACTTTATATATATATATATATATATATATATATATATATATATATATACATATATATATATATATTTACATATATATAATATAAATTCATTATAAAAGCAAATCAACAGTAATCAGTGCTACATATGTACGCACGCAGTTCAAATGTTTTGGGGAGAATCCAAAATAGTTTGAGACCACACCTTGCTTAACATCCGATTCCAAGCCGAGCCAAGCCAAGCCATGCAAAGCCAAGCCGAGCCAAGCTGAGCCAAGATGCTTAGATTTATAAGCGCTTTTATATTTCAATGTTGCTCGCTTTCTATACGAACATCTCAATATAACAAATTTTCCATCCTATTTTAAAAATTTTCTTTGATGCTTTTCAATCAGTCAGGTCACAATAATCATTATCGATATCGCGATGAAATTATATTGAATTTTTTTTCAAATTGTTGATAAAAGTAACTAGTATATAGTAAAAAGTTAAATTTTTCTGAGAAATTTCATATATATTCATAATTTCATATATATATATATGTATATGTATATATATATATATATATATATATATATATATATATATATATATATATCTTTATTTAGTTTTGCCTGCGTATGATATTTGGTCAAGTTTATTTGATTGGAATTGAATATAACTTTTATACCGGCTAATTAACTACTATGCAGTAATATAACTACTGTTAACATGACGTCATTTCCTATTTTATAAGTTCAATTTGATGTTTTTTAATAAGTCAGGTCACAATCATTATCATCATCGATATCGCAATGAAATCAAATTGAGAATTTTTTAAATTTTTGAAAAAAGTGTTTTTATTCATTTTGTTCAATAAGATACAGTGTAATACTGTACTATTAATTAACCATTCAATCAACAAATAAATCAATTAATCAACCGCTGAATCAAAAACTGACTGAACAATCAATCAATCATTTAACTAACCAATCAAATAATCAACTAATTAACCAATAAACATTGAATTATGTAATTTGAAATTATTTCTGTAAATTTTAATGAAAATATTTCATTTTTGTAAGTAAGCTAACCTATGGCTTTATTAGGAGATGGTTAGCCACCGTATTTTCGAAACAAAAAGCAATATTTCTATTTAAATTGACAAAAATAATTTCAAATTACATAATTCGATTTATTTATTTGTAAATATTTAGTCAAGTAAATATTTTGCATAAGCTGTTTGTTGAAATCCATGTAATTTCGTAAGACAACCTATGGCTTCATTAAGCGGTAACCACTGTGTTTTCTAAACAAAAAGCTCCAAACTCCGTACATCGCTACATTAAAATTTTACTTTTAAATCTTTAAATCTACTTTTGAATGTTGAATTAGATGACCAAACTACTAAAAAAAATTAATTTCTTCATTAATGATCCGAAACCGACATCTGTTAGAGGCAATAGATGAAAGAACGGATTTAGAGGATGATTCTAAAGTGACGAATCATTCAAAAAAATCGAAATCGTCTCGCCCAATCAGTTTGGAAAATGTTGCTTGGGTTAGTGCGGCCTTGGCCGTCTGCTACTTCACCGACATTGTCAATACTGTACTCTACCATGATGATATTGACAGGTAATTTTTACTATTTTGACTGTGAATGGAAATATATAAATCTTAAATTTTTAACTATAATTTTTTATTAATTATTATATTAATTATTAATTAATCATATTATCAAATATCTTTGTTGTATTGTATTTTTATAACTTGAAATGAAGAAAAGAAACAGTTTTAATAGCATATTCTTAGATAGACACCATCTTTAAAAGATAGTTTAGCTTTAGTTTAGATCATAAATAACATCTTACCTAATTTGTTATAATACTAGAATAATTGTCTGATAATTATTAAATTGTTGATTATATATCAAATCTTATTTCAGGATCATTTTGTGATTAATATAATTGTCTGGTAAATTTTTAAATTGTTAATAAATGTCTATTTGATTTTCTTTTTTTCAGATCCTGGCTGCAGGCATCAGCGGTTTTCTGCGTGGTTTTCATTTCAATTGCGGCTTTCCTAATTGTATATCTGTACCTAATTCGAGGCATCGATCCCGACGACTGGGATAAGATTTATCCATCTGCAATCCCCAGTGCGACTGCCAGCAGTTTGCTATGTGGTCTTTGGTTGGATAAATATAAATGCATTTATATTATATACAATCTCCTATTTTTTGTCTAGATAAAATCTTACTCTAATCAACCCTGTGATATTTCATTTGACAATTTTGTGACTTAATACAGTTTTGTTTCATAATTGATCCATATAAAATCAATTTTTTATTATTTATATCTATGTATATCTCCTATTTTTTGTCTAGATAAAATCTTAATCTAATCAACCCTGTGGTATTTCATTCAACAATTTTGTGACTTAATACAGTTTTGTTTCATAATTGATCTATATAAAATCATTATACAAACCCAAATAGACTATCAATTTTCAAATTTTCTATCTACAATTTAATACGAATCCAATCAAAAATTCAATGTTTGATATCTTCATATATTGCTAACATTATCGTACCTATATGACTTTTTGATTCTTTGATATTAATATAATAAATTAAATAATTTCCACAATAAATTAAAGTGACTTCAAATTCATTGACATCACTGACAACAATCTGTTTGCACTTAATAAAATTCTCTTACCAACATTCTAAACTTCATCCCAGCTTGCTGATCGCGATATGGCCAGTATATGGACTGCTGAGTATGCTGATTCTCTTTGTCGTCTTCATGGGGTTGATATCTGTAGTCTGCATGCTAGATGTATTCACGTTCCTCTGCAAGAAACCTCCGGTACAGAAGGAAAAAAATTGATCAGGCATTCGTTCGATTGATATATGCTTATTTTTACTAAATTTTGAGATCTGATGGCTGTGAATTGGATAAAGTTAAATGTAAAAATTGTTAATAAATCTGTATTAATTGGTGTCATTCCTTTATTTTTTAAGATTTCTATTTTTAAGATAATCATTTATTTTTTTCGAGATTACCGTTAATATTTTTTAAAGATATTCCTTTATAAACGTTGCTTATTCTTAGAAGTTGCTTGCAATGACGAACTCTAACGAAGCATTATGTGTTGAAAACATACCATTGTTACATAATATTAACAAATATATATAACAACAACAACACACGTTTAGACGACATTTTCCCCTAGATCGGGGGTTGCCGTTTGGCTACCTATGATGAAACCGATATATATATATACGCATGTAATGTAATTATTAAAACAAATAATGATATACTAAAATATGTGTATGCACGTATATGCATACATACAATATATATATATATACAATATTGTATGGATTCTACCGTATTGTTGGCATAAATCATTTTAGAGTTCGTCTTTTCTTACTAGAATTTTCAATAAATTGAACAATCTCCAGAAAAATCTAGTAAGGAAAATTGAAAAGACAAACTTTAAATTGATTAAAGCCGACAATTCGGTAGGATTCATACAATACTCTATAAAATATAGTTTCCGTCTCATGTATATATATATATATATATATATATATATATATATATATATATATATATATATATATGTATATAGCAATAAATCATCCTATTATGTGTATGTATGACACAACATTAATAAAAATCACAAATATTCAAACCAATGAAAGAGGAGAAAGTGAGAATGATCGAGTGAATAAATGAACGAAAGAATTAATTAATTAATTTATCGATAATTAATTAATCAATTAACTAATTAAATAATACGATTGCGAGCTATCAAAATCACAAACTAAATACTTAATTGCGTCAAGACAGAAAAAAAAACTATTTAACAACGACATTTGAATTCTTAAAACTTTTTGAATATTAACAATTTCGATAGGATAGTAGTCTCAACAATTTAATCTTTATTGAATTTCGTCTTTAATACGAAAATTTTTTTTATTTAGTGTTTTTGACTTCCGGGTTGTTGGCGGAAAACCCCTCAGACTTAGTTTTGTCAGGCCCGTCAGTGCCAGCGGCATACTCCCTCATCACATTTTCAGAATAGCCACTACTAATGATTTCTATATCGATGGCCTTGCAGAGAATGACAATGTTACTCAAGTCCGTATTAGGGACGTGCTGGAGATGTGCTGCTGGCCTGTCCTCCATCCCTGGACCCCCTATATTTTCGCCCTCGTTCTTTGTCTTTTGATCGTCGTGGTTTAATTTGAGTTTTTGCTCGTGGAAGCCGAGGTTTTTGTACATCTCAACCGTTGATCTGTAACTGCTGGGCAGGACCACGTGCATGCCTGAGAAAATTAATTTTTTAAATTCATGAATTTTATTTTCGCTGATTTATTTTCTACAATCTGATAACAAAACCATTTGTGTTAATGCAACCAACCGGTTGATCCGCTATTGGCTAGGGCCTGTTCAGCGCTGGCCAATAGGAGCTTAGCTGGAGATCCCCTGCCTCTTGATAGGCCAATCTGAATTATACTGGGATATTTACTTAGAAACTCTTTAACACTCATAACGGAATCTGTGTTTGCAATCTTAGGAGTGCTAGAAATACTGGTACTGTTAGTAACAGTAGTAGCAGCTGTAGTAACCGTTGTTACTTCAGTTGTAGCAGTAGTGGTAGCGTCAGCTGAAATGATGTCGCCACCGATGTTTTTGTCGCTGGTTGCATAATTAGGAAGAATGAACTGCGAACTGTTGAAGTTGTACGAATCCGTCGGTGTATGCAGTGTCTGCAAGAGGATCTGAATGAAGGATTAAAAAGTGAGAAAGATGAAAGAAACATTCGACGTTAAAATTTATCAATTTTGCCAATCGATCTTTGGCTTTGGTTCTTAATGAAATGGAATTTTGTTACAATTAGCATTAATTACAACAAGATCACACTCCACTGCTTGCTCGTACCTCAACATTGTGATAGCTAAACCTCGGCCTGGGGAAAGCAGGCAAGTAGCCGCGACGGTAGAGATCATTATCAGGAGAAGCTGTTCTAGAATGTTCCGTGGAGGATGATGAGGACATTGGGTAGGGACCGTCGTCGTCGTCGTCGTCACCGCAAATATCGTCGCCGTGCTGGTGATGTGGGTGGTTGTGAGACGGAGGAGGAAGAAGATGATGATGGCCCGCCTGGTCGAGTTCGGATTTTTTGCCTTCTAGTTCGCCGGAGTTATCGGGCGAATGCGTGGATGGCTGTATTTCAGACGACGGTGACGTTGGTGGCTGTGGTAGTTGCGTCGTTAGAGTAGTAGTCGAAGTCTCAGGAATCTGCTTCTTGTCAGAAGCCAGATCGGATGATGCTGTGGTTGTGACTGTTGTCGTAGCTGCAGCAGCTGCCGCTGCTGTTGCTAGTGGTGGCGACATCGTTGCTGACGTCATTTGGGTCGTTTTTCTATCTGTGGATTCAAATTAGCAGCAAATTATTATCAACGCCGCCTCCATCGTCATCTTCACGATCACCTACAACATCATCTCGACTCTTAACTTATAGACAACCTTCTTTCATTGGGTACTTCGTCCTCATCTGTGGCAACCAATCGTTCATGAGGTGGTCGTCGTAGCCACTGTAGCTGTCGGCAGCGACAACGTAACTGCAGATGCCGAGGTTGTCTTCAAGCACGTATGCAAATTTACTGAAAAACTTCAAGAATGTTCCCAAGAAGCTGATGATGAATTTTGATTGGAGTTCGATTGAAGTTCAGATGATGTTTTTAAAGTTGTTGCTGAATAAATAATAACGAGTATATTAATAATAACAATAACAATAATAATAATTACTATTATTATGATACAGTTTTCATAATAATTCTAATAAATTATTATAATTATGACCGACCAATCACCGACTAGATCAGGAACAGAGCCCAGCCAGAATGTTGCATCCATCATATCATTGTGCGTTCTCAGGCAGATCATGTTAACATGGCCCTTAATTAATATTAATTTATGCTAACTCATGCAAGTTTATTATTATAATCATAAAAAAAGCCTAAATAATCGAAAAGTGAAAAAGTTTAACTTGAATGTAAATCAAATTTTTATAAATTCCAAAAAGTGGACATCCGTGCAAATACAATTTATGCTAATTTATGCAGACAAATATGCAAATTTTCAAATGAATTTTAAGCATCTAATCATGAATATTAATAACCTTATCGGCGGCATAGTACGGTCTGACCACAAAGACATTGTTTGATCTAGCCAGGTTAGCATCTCTTTCGAATGGCAGTAACCTCTGGATGAAAAGCAATTTTATATCAATCTACGTTAAGCGTTTAGAAAAATAAATTTTATTTGCTGTGTGCAACTGAGGAACGTAAATATAACTGAGAAATACAATTTAAATGACTTGAGTAGAATACGAAATATTTCTATTACAATGATTTTACAATGATCCAAGTTGAAACTAATTTAAGAAAACAAAAAACACAATTCAGTCCAACCCTGAATTCAGCGAGCAAGCCACCCCTGTGGACCCAGGGTTCTTGCTCGCCAGATTTGAATAACTCCTTCTCTCTCTTGTCTATGCCTAATTTTAGGGAGAGAACAAAAAATAGTTGAACTGTAGTTAGAAAATTAAAATAGAATGAACGAATGAATGACAGAATGAAAGATAGAAGAATAAATGAACGAATGATTGAACGAATAAATAAATGAACAGATAAATGAAGGAATGAATGAATGAATGACAAAAAACAAATTATCATAGTAATAATAACCGTGCCATCTTATGTACGAATTGACCAGAGCTAGGTTACTCCTCATATCATTGACGTATTTGTAGATCTCATACAGCAGTTCCCTAGAAAGGAAACATATTTTCATTCAACAATGTTTTCAATCAATCAATTAACTAATTAATTAATTAATCAATTAATTGAAGAAAAATCAATTAATTAATCAATTAACTGAAGAAACATAATAGAACTAACTTAAGTGAACGCAATCTATATACACATTACAAACTACACATCAGCTATATATAACATACACATACATACACACATACACTGCTTTTGCGCTTTTGAGAATTTTAACTTTTAATTGGCGCTTTATAAATTTTTCTTTAATAATAATAATTTAATAATACACTGACATTACACATACATACACACTGGCATGACATATACAAACGAATGAATGAACGAACGAACGAATGAATGAACGAATGAATAAATGAATGAATGAAGGAATGCACTGACCTGTTGGGGATGTTGACGAGTTTGTCGACAACTCCGGACAGATCTCCATATCCATCATGGAACCTTATTGCCCTCTCGTACCATTCGGAGGCGGAAGATGGCAGGAAATAGTTGTCGCCAAGGAAACGGTCCTAGGGATGTGCAGAGATAAGATTTTGGGTAATTTTGCTTTTCAGCCTCATTCAATGAAACAAAATGAGATGCGATATGAAATGATGAAACCAGAAAAAAAGAAGGTCGTCATCACCTTCAAGTGAGTGGCGCTGGGGGAGATTTTGTTGAACTCCAATGAAGGGGTGGATTTGTTAGTTGGAGGAATGACGTCTGCCTGGCCCTCGCTGACTTTCTTGCCAGCTTCACTGACGGTTCGTTGGTCGACGACAACCGGAGACTCGGGCGACGTGGAGTATGCAGATCTATCGTCGCACGGGGGTGACGCGCAGGATGCAGTGCCCCCAGCGGCCACCAGAGATGGGTGAGGTTGAGAGGTTTGTGGAAGAGGCGGGGGGTGCGGTATGTAAGCGGCAAACGGGACCGGGTAGGGATTAGGTTTGTAGACGAGGTGGAAGTTGTCGACAAGCCATCTGGCGACTTTCAGCATGTGCTCCCCCGTGGGTCCGTGCTCGAACGGCAGGTAGAAGAAATCGCAAACCATCGTAAGATCTTCGCTTGTGAGGTGGCTGTCGTGCTGGGAACGTTGGTACAAGTTTGATTGCTGCTGCTGCTGCTGCTGAGGTGTTGTCGCCATCGTTTTAGAGGTCGGAGTGGAGAAATTAGTTGTACCGATGTTGTTTGCTAGCGATTCTTTGGATAGTTGTTCTTTGTTTGAGTTTATGTTAGCATCACTTGTTGAGATTGGTGGCGGTTGAGTTGGCTCCTCCTCTTCCAGCATGGCCACATCTTCATCCTGTTTAGGGCCATCATCTTCATCCTCCTTCTCTTTAACAATATTCCCTGCACTGTCAACGAGAGCAGATGATGAGGCGGTCGCGGTTGCACCGTAGACCTGAGACCGTTGCTCGACAACCTCAAACTCGACATCTTCACTACTTTTAGACACGTCGGACTCTTTGAATTTCGCCAGGTCAGCGGCGTTCTTACTGTCGGCGAGATTTAGCGTCTTTTCAATGGGGTTCTTGTGTCCGAACGAGGATTTGAACCTGTACAATTCAGGCAGCCAGTCCAGAATTGCCATCTGCAGAGCCCTCCTCGGCTCATACTCTTCCAATTTATCCGACCTGACATCGTTCTCTGGAGGAGCGTAAGTGGCAGGATGTGCAGGGTACGGCGACGTTGGAATTGGCAGCAGTGTCGACGAAGTCTGGGGAATGCCTGATGACGTCACGTTTGGAGGGGTGGGGTCGGTAGGGATGTCCTCGACCTCCATGTCAGCCTCCGTTCTCGAGTTCGCGTTGGTTGCTGGCTGCATGGCTTGAAGTGTGGATTTTGATGGATATTGAAATAAATTTGTGTGCAATTTAAGAATAACTTTGAAGTGATTTGTCATTTTTATCCATGTTAATCAAACAACCAATCAACCAAACGACCTACCATCCAACCAACCAACCATTCAACCAACCATCCATCCAACCAGCTATCCAACCAAACAACCATCCAACCAGCTATCCAACCAACCTTGAAATCTCATGTTGGTGTTTTGACTCCACTGTGCCAACGTATGTAGGGCCACAAAATTTGCTTCAAATTCACAGTTGGGATTCGTTAGGACGCCCCTAAGCCTCCCTATCAACTCCGCCGGTCGTCCAGTGTACGGACCTTCAAGATTTAAAAAAAAAAGATTCACAATTAATGTTTTAAAAAATTATAATTGCAATAATAATAAATGTATAATAATAATATGTTATATATATATATGTATATATATATATATATATATATATAATTATAATAATAAATAATAATAAATGATACGATCATCAACAACACCAATAACTACATCTAGAACATGAATTACGGTACTGGATCAATCAATCTAAACACAAGTTACAACAACAACAACAACAACAACAAATACGACAACACGCATCCAAAAACGAAATGTCTAAAAATCGCGACAAGACACCAGAGATTTTAACTTTAAACATTATTCACACATTTTCATAGACTTATTTAGTTCTAGGGTGTGTATTCTTGTTGGAAATTCGACATTTAATCTCCGTAAGTTACTACAACACGACACCAAGCGACACGACACAGCACCACACACAACCACGCGACACCACACCACAACCACACCACAACCAGGCGACGCCACACCACACACAACCACGCGGCACACACAAACACACCACACACAACCACACCACACACAACCACGCGGAACACAAAAACACCCACGCGACACGACACCACACACAACCACGCGACACCACACACAACCACACCACACAACCACACCACACACAACCTAGATATATTCTGGTTTGGTCGTAATCATTAGCATGCAAATTATCCCAGATGGTCACCGGCCTCTTGACAACCGTGCTCAACTCTTCAATACTCTCAACTGTTATGCGCCTGCTGACCACTTTGGGGCCTAATTAGGGAAAGATATTATAATATCAGTGGGGTCGATTATTTGCTGTCTTATCTATGGTAGGTTGGATATTGTATCAGTAAAGTTAATTATTATTTATTGTTTTGTCTATGGTTAGTTAGGTAGGTGATTACGATAAAAGATGATGATGAAGATGACGATGAAAAAAATGTGGCTACAACAGTGACAGCAACGATGATGATGATGACGATGATGATGATGATGACGATGATGATGATGATGAAGACGACGACGATAATGCTAAAACAATGCAACTGCTACTAATGAGACCAAACCAACCGGTCCATAGGAAATCAATGTTCTTCTGTAGTTTCTGGCCAATGGTTCGGAGGTAGGGAGATTTTGAAACGTCGGGGATCGATCGAGACGTGCAATACTCTAGAAGGCGAAAAGTTTCGTGAAAATTACCAAGATACCACTTTCATTTTAGACCTAGAGGTGCACGACTTCCAGCCCGCAGTTTGCTGCAGTAACCAGGTTCGAATGCAAGAAGATCCCGGCATATCACATGTCACGCATATGTATAATACATTAATTCACTGCACTGCAGTGGATGTGTATTTCATTAATTCAATCTACATTGCAATGGATGTGCATTGCAATGTATATATAATGCATTAATTTACAGCAATGCATGTTTATAATGCACTAATTCACTGCAAACTGAGTACGTCTGCATCGATACACCGGAGAAAAAAAATCTTAAAAATAGAATTGCAAGTAGAGAAAAAGAATGAAGAGAGATTCGTAAAATAACCTACTAAGAATAGAAGTGAAAGTTGGAAAGTAAAGAAAAAAAATCCTAAAAAAACACCGACCAGTAGGACAGAAGAGAAATAGGTCAGGTCGACCTAGATGTTCATAAATCTCATTGGTCAGGTAGCACTGAGCATCTGCAATGGACGCAAATTTGTGCATGTCCTCTCTACAGAGGTCATCTTCGATGTCGTCGAACAGCAGCGAGAAGCACGTGCATCCGAGGTTTTTTACCTGTAGTAGTGGGGCGTTGTTGTGTAACTTTACCAAGATAGTTGGTTGTTTTATAATTTTACCGTGACGATGGCGTCGTGATGGCTCAATGTTTAAAGGCGCCTGGTCTTGCTACTGCAATGACTGAGTTCGAATACAAAGAGATCCCCGCCTATCATATGCAATGTGTATGATGCGTGGTTTGCACGCGTTTTCATGTACGCTGTGTGTGTGTTTGTCGTTGAAACCTCTAAAGCAAGCGCAAATGTTTTATAATTTTATAGTGATAGGTTTTATCATGATGGTGGGGTGTTGTTTTAAGATTTTACCAAGATACAATTATAGGACTTAATTGTTTCACTTTGTCATGGTACTTAATTAATAGGAGTTAATTATTCTACTTCATTGAAGTAATTTAATTCAACATTAACTATTTAAAATTATTTACTTATTTGAAAATACACCTCCATCTCACTAATACCATAATTAATTATTAATATTACTTTTTAAAAAATTATTAATATTACTTGGTCAAGTTTTTTCTTCAAAATCGTGACTTCTTCGTCGCTGGAGTAGATGATGTCGAGACCCGGAGAGAGGGCATATACGAAATTTATGCAGTACTCCACCGAGAACCTAATCAGGCATTTCAACTCGTCTGCCGGGAGTTTTACGCAGATAAAATTAGACAGGGAGAGATGAATTAGTGAAAGGTTATTTGCCATTTTGAAAAAATATATTTAATTAGGAAATAAAACGAGAAGGGACGAGTCAGTGAAAGATTATTTGTCAGTTTGAATAAAAATATTTTTAATTAAGTAATTGGGTGCGTACGAATGAATGAATTACTACTGTAAGATAATTTAGTCATTTTGAAAAAAATTTTTCTAATTAGCAAATTAGGTTGTTGTCGTTAGTTAATGTAGGATCGTTGATTACATTGAAAAACATTTTTAATAAGGAAGTTAGGCGGAGTTGAATGAATCTATGAATTAAATTAATAATTATAGAAGAAAAAAAAGTATTTTACTTTAAAAAAACTAGGTAGGAATTGAAAAATTAGCGTAAAATTATTTACTAACGTCAATGAAAATCACCGAAACGAACCGCAAAGATGTAGCTACTTTTTAATATTATTACCTCTACTTAAAATTGAGAACCAAAGTAATGTTACAACGGGTAAAGATTTTCTTATTAGTAAGCAAATTTTTCATTCACATTTAAAAAAACGAACAGATCCACTAACTGGGATACAAAAATATAAAAAATAAATTAAAAGAAATAAATAACAAAAAATAAAAGTAACTTAATAGCTATACGTACGACGGAACTATGACAACACCATATGGAGACGAAAAAATTCTTCTAAAAGTGATTAAAAGTGGAATTAAATAATAATAATTTCTACCGGCTTCCTCTTCATTGTACATCTCCCTCCAGTATAACCTATGCTTGTAATCATCCTTTGGGGCGTATAAGTAGGTATTCATACCAAACCTTTGCATCCTGTAGAGTTAAAACGGTATTTAGTCAATTTTCTGTAGAGTTAAAATGGTTTTTAGTCAGTTTTCAGTATAGTGAAACATGTTAGTGAATCATTTGTGACAATTTTTCGACTGAATTAAGCAAAAAAATTGAGAGAATCCTGAATGAAAGGTAGAGATGCTAACATTTCTTGCATTGTTACTAACGAAAAGAATTCCTAGCAGCCCTCTTAACAATTTAAAACGACATTTAAAGAATGAAATGACATTACAAAACGAGATGACATCACAATAGAAGAATATTAGAATACAAAATGATAATATAGAAACAAGAAGTTAACATTACAGAAAAAATAACATCAGTTACAAAAAGGTACATCACATCACATTAAAAAATGACTTCACTGCATTGTAAAAACTAATAGCTTATATTACACTACAATAACTTACAATACAATACTAAAAAATTATATTAAAATACAAAATGACATTAAATTTACAAAAATATTACATCACATTACAAAAAATTGCATTACATTCCATACTATAACCTTTTAAAAAGTTCTTGTCTCTGTGAAAATGACCATGGTTTTCCATAAAATCCTTCGCAGACTCCACAAAGAAATGATTTGTTGCAGTTTTGGTCGGGGGAGGTTGGTGCATTTTTGTTCATTTTCCGTGCACAGAAAATTTTTAGGAAGCCGTCAAAAATCTGATCAGCAATTAAAAGTTTGAAACTATTAATTTAATAATAGATTCAATCATGATTTAAATTTCAACCTCATTAAATTAAAAGATTCTATCCCACATAAAATAAAAAAAACTCTTTTTAACAATCAATGAAATGATCACATCACTGATCTTTAACCACTAAAAATTGCTAACTAAAATGAATCAGCGATTAGCAAAGTAGAAAAAAATTATAAATAATAAAATTATAAATAAATGAAATTATATTTATAAAATCACAAACAAGTGGGCCACACCACACTGACTTTTGAGAGCAAGATTTTCGTAACGTAGATCAGCGATCTTTCGGGAAAAAGTTTTTTAGATGAAAATTTTTGAATTAAAAGTTTGAAAAATTTGCAAAAGTTATTTTTGAATAAACTTTTGGAAGATGATGATGGAAAGACTTTTTTTTAAAAAATCAACAAAGAACGACTGACATGCCAATGACACTAGATCGATAAATCGTAATAAAACTAGATCCTCAATTTATGGGCCGCTAATGAAAAAAATTAATTATTTGAAAAAATATTTAGTGATAAAATCAACAATATATGTTAATTAAAATAATTCATGATTGAATGTGGCAATGATGTAATAGATTAAACTGGTAGTTTTTACTGGATTTATGTAATACTCAATCTGCTGAGCATGAAAATGTATAGATTGATAATCAAAATCTTGACTTATACATGGTATCATGAATCGACCGAACATTTATCACTTATAAATCAACCAATAAATTAATGAATCAATGAATCAATCAATGAATCAATCAATCAATCAATCGATCAATCAATTAGCTTGTAAAGCGCTTTTTCCGCGATGTTCAACAGCGCTCCTCAATGAATTCTGAAAACAGATGGGTCTTGAGATCCGCTCTTAACTTCGTAAGTGATGGAGAAGTAGTCAGAGAAGTAGGTAGAGAGTTCTAGAGAAAGGGGCCAGAAAAAGCAAAAGCAGATTTAGCAAAAGAGTGTTTAACACGAGTTAAGAAAAAGTAAGAACAAGAAGACGATCGTAAACCGAGGCGTTTAGGTTCAATTAATATATCTGATAAATACTTAGGAAATAATTTAGATTGAAAAATAAACGTGCAAATTTTAAAAATTATTCTATATTTTATAGGTAGCCAGTGCAAGAGAACAAGATATGGAGATATATGAGAAAAGAAAGGGAACTAGACGAGCAGCAGAGTTAAAAAGCTTTACTTAAAGTATAGAGTATAGAGTCAGGAAGACCATAGTAGAGCGAGTTGCCATAATCAATCCAAGATAAGACTAACGAAGTAACAAGGAGAAAAGTAGGATTGTCAAGAAAAGGCACATGTTTTTTTTATTCTACGTAGATGAAAGTAAAAGCTTCTAGCAACACTATTAATCTGAGAAGAAAGAGACATACTAGAATCAAAGATAAATCCTAGACTACGAAACTTTGTGAGAGACATCAAGAGTTTTAGAATCAGGTAAGAAAGATAATAAGAGGAATAGTAATAGAGTGTTTAGATTTATTGAAACAAATTAGTTCAAACTTAGAAGGATTAAGTTTAAGACACATAAAGTCAGACCAAGCGATAATTGAAGAACGACTTAGAGATTGACTATGAAAAACACTATTAAGATTAGATGGAGGAAAAGAAGTTTAAATATAAGAATCATCAGCATATAGTTGACCAGAGAAAGAAAAGTTATTAATAATACGAGGTAGTTCAGAGGTATAGAATATAAATAGAAGAGGGGCAAGGATAGAACCCTGAGGTACCCCGAAAGTAAGAGTAGAGGAGTTAGAAGTGGAATTATTGAGAACAACAGAAGAAAAACGATTACAGAGATAAAAAGAAAACCAAGATAGACAAAAATCAGTAATATTAAAAGAAAGATGTAGCAGCCTCAAGAGAATAGTATGATCAACAGTATCAAAAGCCGAGGAAAAGTGAAAAGCAAGAAGAAGAGTGAGATTACTACTAGAGAGAAGGATTCATTGTGTATTTTGAATCTTAAAAAATAATAATTTTTTTAAGATCGTACCTGATATAATTATTGATGACATCTAAAGCAACATTTGCTAAATAAATCACACGAATTGTGGGACCAAAGTTAAACAATTTGCGATTCAATACTATAATTTGCATTTGATATTTATTATGACGATATTTTGGAAACTTGTGGTGTCCCCAGACGCCTGGTGCATAATTTTTAATCCAGCCCTGTATAGAGTTATATAAAGTTATATAGAGTAATATAGTGTTATTGAGTTATATAAAGTTATATCGGGTTATATAAAGTTGTATAGAGTTATATACGGTTATATAAAGTTATATAGGATTATATAATGTTGTTTAGATTTGTAATGAGACATATAGGGTTATATAGAGTTATATAGGATGATATAGAGTTATATAGTTGTGTAAAGTTATATAAAATTATATAGTTATATAAGGTTATATAAAGCTTTTAGGACATTAACTTTTTTGGGAGTAGGCTAAAGTCGTTAAAAATAACGAAGGCTCGAGTGTTTTTTATCAAAATCTTTTTATTGATACTTATTTAATTGTTTTATTTTTGAGTCAGTTTGTTTCATTTTAATTTTTTTAAATTTTTTTCTCCTTTACAACAAAAATTATGAATGTTAATTTATAAAATAAAAAACAAAACGCACCATTCCCCAAACAAACACGATATCGGCCATTTTTTTTCGAAAAGCAATTTCTTATGTCCGTGAAAAAACTTTTTGTACTGTCAGGAAAAACGTCACCCATCGCAATAATTAGAATTAAATTTAAAATTTTTCAAAAAATTTCATCGCTTGTTGAATGGAAGCAATATCATGTTTGTAAATAGACGTTGGAATGCAGCTGACAGCAATTGATGTGGTTGTCACATTATATTTCATTTATTTACTAATTTACTTAACCTAATTTAAACCACATGTTAGCTGGGTTCACCGGCCAAACGAAAAACTAAATAACTTGTTTTCATCAATATGTACAATTACAAGAGAATTTTTTTCCTAATTTGATAACAACCTACTAATGACCTGATATATTTTTTTTCAGAGGTGTTTTTTTTTTTTATTAAAATTAAATTAAATAATAAAATAATAAATATAATAAAATTAAATTTTCTTTTTTCTGCCCAGTCATATAATATTAAGTTGAAAAATCATCTCTAAATCATTGGTTGTATAAATTTCCATTTATTTTATTTTAATTTTGTACATTTACCAACAATCTACTAAACGTGAGTGGTACTTGAAATAAGTCATCACTGCCTGCTGCCTTGGCATGGCTGAGGCCCTCAAGTTTGGACCAGAATGGTTATTAATGATTTTTTTTTTCAAATTTTAAAAATTCTGGTTTTCGAACATTAAAATTCAAGCTAAAAATTATTAATTTTAAATAAAGAAAAATTGTTCAAATATTCTTAGTTGTGTTTTCAAGATGCTAATTAAGTTCATAATATAATGTTACTCCTCATTATAAATGAATCTTGCACATGAGTTATTAAAATGTGAAAAAATTAAATTTCAAAGGCTGAGAAACTTGTCAGACAACAGTCTGTGTCGATCTCAATCTCCCACAGCTCCTACCTCACGATTCAAATTAGCGGAGCACAGATACACCAAAGATGAGATGCTTGCCCTTTATAGTCCAGACCTAACCATCCCTGATTCATTAGCACTCCTGGCCCCAAAATTATGCACCGAGTCTATATTGACCCCTGTTGGAGCATCTCCAATCACAGAAACTGAACAAGTTTGGAAAATTTTGATTTTTTTTTATAATCTTTAATTTCTAATGTACGTTTTCTCTTTCAAACTGCTTTTCTATAATATTTTTTTCATACATTAAAAAATATCCCTCGTTGTTAATTTAGAAGTTGATGTCTCAATTGTCATCATCGTCGTCGTCTTCGTCATCTTGTAATGCCCTGGGCAGACCTCAAGTTCTGACGAGAACCTCTGCCGCGCCATTCTCGCACATCAAAGCCAACGAACTGAATAGGAGATGTGAGATTTTTTTGCTTATCAAAGATTATTTGTACGTATATATATATATATATATTTATTTATTTCAAACTTCTGACCAAATCTTTGATAGCCTATTATAAGACAAGAATCACAAACCAAATAAAAAACACTTTTCTTTCAAATTTTGCCCCCATCCTGAGATGTTACTTTACAAAAGCTTATTTAGGAATGTATATATATATAATTATCTCTTTCTCTCTCTTTCTTTATCTATCTATAATATATATATATATATATATATATATATATATATATATATATATATATATATATATGTTGTATATATATATAAATATCTTTTTTTTTCTTGGAAGGTCGTGGTAGTGGTCGGCTGGATCACATCTTCAACAGGTCGTCTGGGATGGTTTTGGAAGAGGACGACTCGATGGTGCACTGTGCCACCTCATCGTCGTCCTCATCGTCGCAACTTTCCATGTGTAGGAGCCGATTTCAGAATAGCAGCCGGGAGCCGTGGGATGATATCAGGTTTGTTGCTTTTTTTAGTTTTTTTTAAATTTTATTTCGTTGTTTCTTTGTTTCATCATTTATTCATTCAACGCAACGATGACATCTCAGGCAAGTTTGTCCTTTATTTAGTGTTTTTTTATTTATTTTGTTAGATTTTTGTCAATATATCATACATTCATTTATTCATTCATTCATTCATTTATTCATTCATTTATTCATTCATACATTCATACATTCAACAAGACCGCAACAACATCATCTCAAACAGTATCTCAAACACGAGGGGTCGAGGTCTTTCATACAGTAACAGAAGTTTCGACGAATCAAATGAATTTTCCAGATCATCGGATAGCTGGAGGGGTGGGGTCAAGAAAAAGTGGGTTGAAGATGATACCGGAAGCTGGAGGAAGCAATCGGCCAATCAGAAACCATGTAAGTTGTTCCTATTTTTAGAACTGATGTGTCTATCTACCCGTAGTTGTATCTATTTTTAGATACTATTTATAGTTCGTGTTTATTAAAATCTTTCTACGTTTAAGAAGTTGGAAAAATATTTGTTACAGCTAATCGCAGTTGGAGGGAGCCATGGGAGAAAGATAAAAACCGCACAATGGACGACGCGTTCAGGGAAAAGTCATTTAGGAGGTCGTTCAGTTCTTCGCATGCACATCAAAATAATTACTACCCGGAGGATGAGTTGGAGCAAATGCCCGAGTGGAGCATGGCCGATGATGTTGGGGACGTCGGGACTTTTGATGCGACCGGGGCATATGTTTCCATTAAGGTCTGTTATTGGATTAGTGATTAGGAGATTGGAGATGTGCTTTTTTGCTGGATGTAATTGAAGGAAGTTAGATAAATTAGTGATAGCTTTCATTCAATTAAGTGATTTTTTTAAAATTTTTTCAGGATTTAGAAAAACTTGAAAAAGCAAAAAGTGAAACGATTGTTAATGATATTGAACCAATAATTGCAACGACAGCAACAGCAACAACATCAATATCTGCAACAACCACAACAACAATGACATCAGCTGAAACAACGTCAACAAATAATAAAGTTGCTGAAGGTGATAAGAAAATTCTTGAATGTGATGAGAGGGAACTGCAGGCTGCCGATGTAGAGAAAGATGTAAATGAAGACAGAAAAAGTTATGAGAAGAATGTTGAAATTGAGCTGGCAACAAACAGCAACGAGTGCCTCCACCAACAACAACAACCGAACAATGACGAAGAATTTGTTCTTGCTCGTTTCATAAACACAATCGATCCGCTTGACCACAAGGTCATCACCATCGACGCGACTCCACAACTGCCAACAACAACTAACCAGACCTCATCACTGCCTGCTATTGCTGCTACTGCTACATCATCATTGAGCAAACCTTTCAATGGTCTGAATGTTGAGAACTTCGAGATCATCACTCCGACTCCTTACAGCAACAATGTTGACAACACCACTGCAACTCAGCCACAACAACTAACACAACGTTTTCTTGTAGAGCAGCAGTTTTTTGATGACCCTGACTTTCAACAACAACATCATCAGCAGCAGCAGCAACAACAACAACAACCTCAGTCAGATTTGAATCCATCTCTCAACTCTATAGACCTACCAGCAATGCATTATGACAAAGATTTTTATCAACACCATCAACAACAACAACAGCAGCAACAACAACAACAACATCCACAACATCAGAATAGTGCTGAGTTTGGTGAGGCATTCATGCAACAATTCCTGCAACAGCAACAGCAACAACAACAACAACATTTATTTCAACAACAACAGCAGCAGCAACTGAAACAGCAGCAATTCAACAAAGGTTTCCTACCAGCCGACCACGAAGATGCTCATAAATGGTTTTATAGAGATCCTCAGGGTGATATACAAGGTTCATTCATTTTTCATTCATTCATTCATTCACTCATTTTGTATTCATCAAATTATCCAATAGGCCCATTCCTCCAATCCGAGATGAGCGATTGGTTTAGTGCCGGTTACTTCAACATGAACCTATTAGTGAAGCAGGGATGTGACGATAACTTCTTACCGCTTGGCACCTTATTGAGAACCATCGGCAAAAATCCATTTCTCTTGGTACCCCCAACGCCTCCGACTAATCTCATGAACAATTCTAATGCTAATAATGCCAGTATGTTACCGTCTCACATGAAGGTCCGTGTTTCTCTATTTCATTGCCTGCCCTACTATTAATCTGTTTACATGTCATTTGCACTTACTGGCTATCTCCTTTCTTTCACTGTACTCTATTTGTTTGGGTTTTTTTTTTTTTGATGAATTTTTCATAATTAGACCATCATCACATTCTCTGCCACGCAGAGCAATTCAGCAGGCGGTTTAATAGACGGTTCTTACGACAGCAGCAACCAACAGCAACTACAACTGCAACAACAACTGCAACTGCAACAACGCATCAAACAGTATCAACAGCAGCAGCAGCAACAACAGGAACGTATGAAGTTGTTTCAGTTGATGCAGTTGCAGCATCAACAACAACAGCAACAACAACCACAGTCATCCAGGCTATCAACATTGCAGATGATTCAATCACTGCAACAACAGCAGCAGCAACAACAACAACAACAACACAGACCTTCGTTGTTGGAATCGTTGCAGGCCATCACATCCTCCTCATCATCCATCCAGAACGACATAGATCTCTCAACTATGCAACAGCAAATCTTGCAGCAGCAACTTCTGCAACAACAACAACAGCAGCAGCAACAACATCCAATATTGTCGCAGTTGTTTCAACAACAGCAACAACAGCAATTGCTCAACAAACTCTATACATCGTCGTCTTCATCATCGTCGTCTTCTAATGATCTCCTTTCATTGGTTGGTTCAAATCCGCTTAGCTCCACCCCATTCTACTTGCCAACCAATAATCCTCCTTCTAATGGTTCGTGCTGCTTGAATTTCACACTATTTATTTTCAATTTTTGAGCCAATGATGCTTTTTTGTAACCAATAAAATTCTTTTAATTAAGAATTGCTTGACCAATCACAGGAAGTAATACATGGGACATGAATTCCTCTCGGCCAATCATGGCTCAGGCTTTGGAGCAGCTGCAATATATGGCTCTGGAGAAGCAGCAAACTTCATCATCTTCAACAGCCAATAATATGCCAGCCCCTAGTGACAGCAGCCAATCATTGTTGAACAC